TTATTATTTTTTTTTTTGAGACAGAGTCTCGCCCTGTCACCCAGGCTCGAATGCAATGGTGCAATCTTGGCTCACTCCAACCTCCGCCTCCCAGGTTCAAGCGATTCTCCTGCTTCAGTTTCCCGAGTAGCTGGGATTACAGGTGGGCACCACCACTCCTGGCTAATTTTTTGTATCTTTTTTTTTTTTTTTTAAAGACAGGGTTTCCCCATGTTGGTCACGCTGGTCTTGAACTCCCGACCTCAGGTGATCCACCTGCCTTGGCCTCCAAAGTGCTTGGATTACAGGTGTGAACTACCACGCCCGGCCTTTTTTGTATCTTTAGTAGAGGCAGGGTTTCACCATGTTGGCCAGGCTGTCCTTGAACTCCTGACCTCATGATCTGCCCTCCTTGGCCTCCCAAAGTGTGAGGAATACAGACATGAGCCACTGTGCCTGGCCTGTAATGAAGAAATTATTAATCACTTACTGTATGCCTGCCACTGTGATGAGCATTGTGTGATGGAAGACAGAAAACAAATACATAAACTTATTCTGCCCATGGCATCATTATCTTCATTAATAATTTCCTTTTCACAGCCACCTGAGAGATCAGGTTCAAAATGATAAATGGTAACACAGCCAGTAAGTGGTGCAGCCAGGGTTTAAATTCAAATCTCCAGTTCCAAAGCCCATGTGCTTTCTTCCTGATCAAGAGGAAGATCTTTTTGGTGACTTTGTAGGAGGGTGAAATTTTTATGAGAAGAGAAGACTGACATACAAGAAACAACTGAGAAAGAATTCAAGAGAATAGATCCATGTGTCCTCAGTCATATCAGCCACAAGTTCTTCCAGAGCTCAGAGCTATTGCCAAGGGAGGCTGAGCATGGAAGTAACTGGGAAAGGCTTCCTGTGAGTGCAAGGGTGAGGGTGGTGGCCGGAGTGGGCAAGAGGGAGAAGGCCAGCCTGAAAGGATTGAGCTGACCCCATAGACAGGTAATTGACAGGTATTTGAGCAGGTGCATGGAACTACTATAAGTGACAGTTTTGGAGATGACCTTAGGTTCAGTGTACTTTATCTTAGGACGGAGAGGTGAGATGGAGGGAAGTTGCATTGGGGGAAGTTGCAGTGATCTTAAATCTGAAGGATTTCAGGCCAGGTGCAGTGGCTCATGCCTGTAATCCCAGCAGTTTGGGAGGCCGAGGTGGATGGGTCATTGGAGGTCAGGAGTTTGAGACCAGACTGGCCAACATGATGAAACCCCATCTCTACTAAAAATATAAAAATTAGCTGGGTGTGGTGACGCCTGCTTGTAATCCCAGCTGTTCTGGAGGCTGAGGCACAAGAATCGCTTGAACCCAGGTGGCAGAGATTACAGTGAGCTGAGATGGCACCACTGCACTCCAGCCTTGGATGACAGAGTGAAACTCCATCTCAAAATAAATAAATAAATAAAAATCGGGAGGACTTTGAATGCTAGTTCGAGATTAGCCAGAACTCTTGAGTTCCTTAGCACAAAGTCCAGGGAGATGGTTTTAGGTGGTGGCCACGAGGAATAGAGGGTGATAAGAGAACACATCTTGTCTCTTCTGGCTTCTGCAGACAGAGCAGCTTTGCCTATACCTAGTCCTGTATTGTAGGCTGGTATAAGATTCATTCAAAAAATGGATGGCTGGGCACAGTGGCTCACGCCTATAATCCCGAGGTGGGTGAATCACCTGATGTCAGGAGTTCAAGACCAGCCTGGCCATCGTGGTGAAACCCCATCTTAAAAAAAAAAAAATGGCTTCAGGCTGGATGTGGTGGCTCACACCTGTAATCCCGGTACTTTGAGACGCCAAGGCAGACAGATCACCTGAGGTCAGAAGTTCGAGACCAGCCTGACCAACATGGCAAAACCCCCTCTCTAAAACCACAAAAATTGGCTAGGCATGGTGGCATATATCCCAGCTATTTGGGAGGCTGAGGCAGGAGAATCGCTTGAACCCAGGAGGTGGAGGTTGCAGTGAGCCAAGATCGCACCACTGCACTCCAGCCTGGGCGACAGAGCAAGATTCCATCTTAGAAAAAAAAAAAAAAAGTGGCGGGGCCGGGCACGGTGGCTCAAACCTGTAATCCCAGCACTTTGGGAGGCCAAGGCGGGTGGATCACGAGGTCAAGAGATCGAGACCATCCTGGTCAACATGGTGAAACCCTGTCTTTACTAAAACTACAAAAAAAATTAGCTGGGCATGGTGGCACATGCCTGTAATCCCAGCTACTCAGGAGGCTGAGGCAGGAGAATTGCCTGAACCCAGGAGACGGAGGTTGCAGTGAGCCGAGATCACGCCATTGCACTCCAGCCTGGGTAACGAGAGTGAGACTCCGTCTCAAAAAAAAAAAAAAAAAAAAAAAGTGTCTTCAGTACTTAAAACACACACACAGTACCTCCTTGTTCTTCTGCTAATAAGTAGCCATGCTTGGTTCTATTTCTTTTTTGTATTCTACATTATGTGAGAACCAAAAATTAAAAGTACCTTCAAAATAGCCAAGGGGAGTCTTTAAAGGATTTTTGCCAGGGGAGCAGTTTTGGGTGATTTTAGAGCTATCTATCACTCCAGAGAAAAAGGGTGGAGGGTGAGTTGGAGACAGGGTATAGCCAGGAGGCTTGCAGGGTGGTATAGGCTTGATCTGGATTTTGTCCTGTTTTAGTTTGGTTGGACCTTCTTAGAAAACTTGGGTTTTCACATTCCTATTTTCCTTGTTCATGAGCAGAATGATTGAGAGTCTGGCTCAGAAGCTGGACAGGCCTGAGTTCAGACCTATGCCCTGCCACCTGCCAGCTCTGTGACCCTGGACAAGTCAGTCCTGTCTCTCTGAGCCTCAGTCTCTTTGAATGTAAAATTGAGATGATTTGGTCCTAGTCTCTAACTCATATGGTTGTCATGAAAATGAAATGGGATAATATATGTAAAACACAAGCCAAGGGCCTAGCACAGAATATTAACTATCCCTCAGTCCCTGGAGTTGATCTGTGAGTCTCATGATACGTCCATATTCAGAGGATTGGTACGGAGTTTAGCAAATTAAACTTCCAACTAAATATATGTCTTCAATAGTCTTAGGGTTTTTAAAAATGTTTTAGTAATATAGGCAGATTTTATGATGGAATCCCATTAATTATGATAAAAATAATTTTATAACTCTCCAGTGTAAGGTACTAAGAATGAGACAGGATTGGTTTGTCATTAATTTGAGATAAAATGTATCTCAGTGAAACGAATAGATGTTAAAGTTTGATGAGTTTTCATAATTTATGCACCTGTATAATCAACATTCCAATCAAGATGTAGAACATTTCTATCATCCCAGAAAGTTCCTTCATGTCCCCTCCAGTCAATCTCTACCCTGTATAGGTAACCAGTGTTCTGATTTCAGTCATTGTAGGCTAATTTTGCTTTTTTTTTTTCCCTTTTTTCTTTTTATTTATTTATTTATTTTGAGACAGAGTCTTGCTCTGTCGCCAGGCTGGAGTGCAATGTCGCAATCTCAGCTCACTGCAACCTCCACCTCCTGGGTTCCAGTGATTCTTCTGTCTCAGCCTCCTGAGTAGCTGGGATTACAGGCACCCACCACCACGCCCAACTGATTTTTTGTATTTTTAGTAGAGATGGGGTTTTCACCATGTTGACCAGGCTGGTCTTGAGCTCCTGACCTCAGGTGATCCACACACCTTGGCCTCCCAAAGTGCTAGGATTACAGGCGTGAGCCACCGCACCTGGCTGAATATACTGAATATATATATTTTTTCCAGCCCTGCACCCTACCCCCCCTTTTTTTTTTAATGAACAGAAGTGTTTTTCTACATATGGTATGACGTAGGAGTCAAGGTTTATTTTTTTCTATATGTTTATCAGGTTTTTCCAGCACCATTTGTTGAAAAAACTTTTTATTCTCTCATTGAATTGATTAGTTCATTTATATTTATCGTAATTGCTGATATGGTTGGGCTCATGTCTACATCTGTTTTTTGTTTCTCTCTTCCTTTTTTTTCTGCTTTATTTATTTATTTATTTATTTAAAGATAGGGTTTCACCGTGTTGGTCAGGCTGGTCTTGAACTCCCGACCTCAGGTGATCCACCCGCCTTGGCCTCCAAAGTGCTTGGATTACAGGCATGAGCCACCATGCCCGGCCTCCTTTCTGCTTTTCTAATTCACCTGGAACACTTGTTTAAAATGCTGTTTCCTGAGACCCCCGCCCCCCCCGCTCAGACCTGCTCAGTCAGCTTTAGGGGTCTTGCCCTTGTTTTTCAACAGTTCCTCAAAGGATTGGTGTAGAAGCAACTTGGCTGGTCAGTATGCCTGGAAAAGGCTCTCATGAACGATCCTTAATCAGTGGTTTTTTTTTAAGTCAATGTAGAATTAATGAAGACCTGGGGTCTCAGGGTCAGAGTCTTTTTTGTATGGTGTGAATGCTTGGCTGATACCAGAAAAACTTGGAAAATGTTGGCCTTTTAAAAGTTGTGTTTTTTGGCTGTCTGCTCTTCTTCCCTTTTTCGCTGTGTTGCTTTCTCCCTCATCTCAGCTTATTCACCTCTTTTCTTTTTTTCAGTGACAGGGTCTCACTCTGTTGCCCAGGCTGGAGTGGAGTGGCATAACGATAGCTCATCACGGCCTCAAACTCCTGGGCTCAGGCAATCCTCCCACCTCGGTCTCCCAGGTAGTTGGGACTACAGGCACACACTACCACACCCAGCAATTTAAATTTTTTTGTAGAGAGCCTTGTTATGTTGCCCAGGCTGGTCTTGAACTCCTAGTTTCCAGCAGTCCTCCTGCCTGGACCTCCCAAAGTATTAGGATTACAGGCCACCACCTAACTCACCTCTTACACAATAGCATGGTATAAAAGGAAAAATCCAATTAGTTGGAACTTGTAGTTCTGTTTGGGTTAATTTCTGTTTTTGTTTTAAGCGCTTTACATTTTTCCTTGTTTTTTTAGGGAGAAAGTAGAGAAGCAAGTATTTTCTATCTGGTGGCAGAAGATGTTACAGCATCGAGAAAACCGCTTGGCAGAGAGAATGGTAAATGGCTGTCCCTGTGGAGATTCCTGGAGGGGCAGGACCTAATTCTAGCCATTGCACTCATGGCCTCCACTCCTCAGGAAGTCGTTTGGCCTCACTGGAGGGCTTCTGCCTGTGACTCATGAGGCCAGGCAGGCTCTGGGGCATCTGTCCTTTCTCAGTGGAGCTTGTGGACAGCTTCTGGACTGGACCACATCCTGATGTCCATTCCTTTTGCCTTGGTCATTATCTGTGGCCTATAAATTCTTTCCTGGCTTCTGTGCCTCTCTCCTACTTGACTTATTCTGTTCTCTCCTTCCTGTCCTGCCTCAGGCCATCCTTCACGCAGAGCGACAGCTTCTGCATAGGTCCTGGTTCACGTGGCACCAGCAGGCAGCAGCACGTCACCAGGAGCAGGAGCGGCAAACAGTGGCCCGTGCCCACCACCGCCACAGGCGGCTCAGGAAGGCTTTCTGCCTCTGGAGGGAAAGTGCCCAAGGGCTTAGAACAGAGTGAGTGGCCGGTTCTGCCTGAAAAGCCTTTCCACCCCAGGTCAGCTTTGATTGTAGTAGCAGCACCATCAGCTCCCAGTGCCTGTCTGGAGGATTACATTACCCCAGACTCTGGTTGTAAGCTCTAGAAATTCAACCTAGAAGAGTCTAAGTAAAACTAGGTTGGAACAGCAGGATCTTGGGGTACCTCATGGAGCCTGCAGCCTGAGGAATTTGGCTGGGTACGGAAGTGCTCTGTGGATCTGGGAGGTTCTGCTCATTGGCCACAGACTGCTTACACTTGGGGCCCATTCGAAGTGACCATAGCCAGGTTGGGAGGCTGAGGCAGGTGGATCACTTGAGTTCATGAGTTCAAGACCAACCTGGCCAACATGACAAAACCCCGGCCCTATTAAAAATACAAAAATTAGGCCGCGCGCGGTGGCTCAAGCCTGTAATCCCAGCACTTTGGGAGGCCGAGGCGGGTGGATCACGAGGTCAAGAGATCGAGACCATCCTGGTCAACATGGTGAAACCCCGTCTCTACTAAAAATACAAAAAATCAGCTGGGCATGGTGGCGCGTGTCTGTAGTCCCAGCTACTCAGGAGGCTGAGGCAGGAGAATTGCCTGAACCCAGGAGGCGGAGGTTGCGGTGAGCCGAGATCGCGCCATTGCACTCCAGACTGGGTAACATGAGCGAAACTCCGTCTCAAAAAAAAAAAAAAAAAAAATACAAAAATTAGCCAGGCGTGGTGGCGCAAGGCTGTAATCCCAGTTACTCAGGAGGCTGAGGCATGAACATTTGCTTGAACCCAGGAGTTGGAGGCTGCAGTGAGCTGAGATCACACCACTGCACACCAGCCTGGGCAACAGAGCGAGACTCTGCCTCAAACAAACAAAAGTGGCTATAGCCAGGGAATAAACTGATGGGCCCATGTTGTGATAGCTGACTGCTGCAGATACGGGATAGGGACCAGCAGCTGGCCAGTGGGTGGGTTGTAGCAGTTTTTAACCACACCACGTAGTTAGAGAGAGAAAGGTAGGCAGTCCATGTGTCTACTGCAGAGACTGTCCTGCTTTGGGGCCTTTCAGTATTCACTATGTGTTCTGAGGGTTTCACTCCTTGTCAAACTTTGGCCACATTTAACCACCTCCTCAGGTGGGAGCTTCACACCTGCACATGTGAGCTTAAATGGCACTTGAAACCCTGGGAAGCTGTAGGCCAATGTGATGAGATGTGCTTTTTTCTGAGAGTGCAAGTTCTTTGGCAGCTCTTCCGAGAGGGTCTTGGCTCCCCCAAAAACTTAACCAGGTAGGGGCCACGGACTGTGAGGAGGAGCCCACAGAGGGTGCCCTCGCAGGATGGGGGCAGCAGCATTGAGCTCTGCCATCTCTCCATAGGAGGACAGGCCAGGTGCAGGCAGCAGAATTCAACACGGCCCAGCTCCTGCGTTGGGCCTGGAGCCAGTGGAGGGAGGTAAGGCATTGGTGCGGGCGCCACCCAGGTATGGCTTTTGAACACGTGGGCTGTGTGTCAGCAGGGCTCACAGCCGACTTGTGGGCCAAACCACCTACCTCTGAGCTGAAGGAAGAGAACAGTCAAGCAGATGAAGTGTTAACTCAGTTTTATGAGATGATTGGCTCAAAATGTTGTGTTCTTTCAGATACCAGTCTGTTCTTATTTGAACTTACTGCATCTAAAATTCCTGATCTAACTATTTACAGGAGTCCTGCTGAGACTAAAAAATGTTTAAACTCACATTAATTGAGCGTTTACCACAAATCAAGCACTTGCCTCATCCAGTCCTCAGAACCCCTAAGAAGTGCGTATTTATAGATGAGGCCAGAGGGGTTAAGTAATTTACACTCACACAGATGAAGTGTAAAATGGAGGCAAAGCAGGAAGCCACCCCCAGCTGGGCCCCCAGCCCACAGTAGCTGCTTTCTTCTCTGTCTGCAGTGCCTGGCCCTGCAGGGAGCGGAGCGGCGGAAGCTGATGCGAGCGGAGCTGCACCACCAGCGCACGGTGCTGCTCAGGGCGCTGCACGCGTGGGTGGTAGGAGCTGCTGCTTCCCTCCTGAGCCTTGCTGTGGGGACAGGGGAGGTTTCTGGAGACTTTGTTTCCCTTCCTTGTTCTTCCTGTCCCTCCCACAACAGAGTGATGTGACAAACCTGAAACCAAGCAAGTGCCTTAGCGAGGCCTGGGGCCTTAGGCCTTAGGTTCTTCGATTCTTGCTTGGCCAAGTGGAAACAAATGCTGTTGGTGGGCCCCAGCCTTGAGGGGAAAGCAGCTCCTTGTCCAGCAGTCCTGTGGTTTGACTTAGGAGGTGAGGGCCTGTGGGACAGTCTTCTCCCTGTCGTCTGAGAGGGTCTGCTGGCCCTGGGACTAAGGGCTGTTGGCCTCTCCCTGCCCTTTTTGAGTGCTCTGGGCATGGCGGCCTTGTGCTGGAGGCACCTCTGAGACCTGCATAAACAGGGAGAAGTGTGGACCCAGGGGCAGCCTCCAGTCCCCCTTGTCCCCCACAGACTTACCAGGGCAGGGTGCGGAGCATCCTCCAGGAGGTGGCAGCCAAGGAGAGCCAGCACAACAGGCAGCTGCTGCGGTGAGTCTCCCAGGCACCAGCCGGGGAATAAGGAACACACTCCAAACCCCAGCCTTTTAGGGGTTCCTGCTGAGAGCCAGGGGATGATCCCAGGTGCCTAGTACCTAATATCATGGTCTTGGCTTTTCTGCCTCACTCATGGGTTTGCCTCCATTTGTCTTAAGCCCCTGCTGTGTACAGGGCAGGCCTTGGAAAGCAGCTGTCACCTGCATGCCTTGAAGACCACTTGTCTTGCTCTTCTTAGCACTTTTTCCTCCCTGCCTCACACCTGCAAGATTCAGGGGTTTGCAAAGCTTTGCAAGATTCGGCTTTGCAAGAGATTCGCCTTGTCATCTCTTCCACTCCAGAGGCCGCAGTGGCTCCTTTTCCTGTTAATTTCCAGGCAATCCCCTTCCCGTTTGCTCTGCAGGCCTGTCACTGACTTCAGAGTCACCTCTAGGCCCTGTCGGACCATCTGCTCCACTCACGCCTGTGGAGGGCGCTTATGTAGCTTCCTCCATTTTTTCTAAGCCAGACTCTAACCTCACTCCTTCCCAGTAGTCTTCCCACATGCCCCTCTTTCATTTCCTTCCTTTATATTTGTTCAGCACATGATAATCCAGGTGGCCTGTGGGCAGTGGGTTTTTAAACGCCTCCATCCTTAGCCGGGCGCAGTCACTCACACCTGTAATCCCAACACTTTGGGAGGCTGTTTGAGTCCAGGAGTTTGAGACCAGCCCGGGCAACGCAGCAAGACCTTGTCTGTACTAAATATAAAAACATTAGCCAGGCATGGTCAGGTATGTCTGTGGTTCCAGGTACTTGGGAGGTTTAGGTGGGAGGGTCACTTGAGCCCTGGAGGTCAAGGCTGCAGTGAGCCATGATCATGCCAGTGCACTCCAGCCTGGGGGATGGAGTGAGATCCTGTCTCTTAAAAAGTAAAGAAATAAAATAAATACTTCCATCCCTCATATGGGATCCCATAGAGCACCCATCCCGCTCTTCAGACAGAGTAGAATAAGCAAGAGGAACTCCCCAAGCTAACTCAGCAGCAAGCTGAGGCATAGGCAACCTTCCTCTGGGTTCCCTGCCTCTCCACATTTCTCTTATCACAGTGTGAGTCACCGGTGTTGCCACTGCCTGATTACGCCCTGTTATCCCCATAGCACCTGGAGTTTGGTCTCCAGCAGTGTTGGGTCCCTCATGTACTCTTGGTGCCCAGCCCAGAGCAGCTGCTCAGTAGCCATTTATTGGACATAGATATGCATGTAAACATGGGTGTTTGTCAAACATTCTTAGGCGTAGAGTCCCTGACTCAGGAGCAGGGGGAGAGGGGGAATGATTCACAGAAGCCTCCCTTCTCTCTCCATCCTGGTGTCATCTGCCCTCCTGGCACCCGTGCACCTGCAGGGGGGCGTTACGTCGCTGGAAAGAGAGCACCATGGCCCGCATGAATGAAGCCAAAAAAACCTTTCAAGCAAGTACTCATTACAGAAGGACCATGTGTTCCAAGGTGAGGTATAAGAAGGCAAGCTGGTCACCCAGGAGAGTTGGGGACTGTGTTCTGGTGAGGGCGTGGAGGGTGGTACCAGAGATTTAAACTGAATAAGGAACCCAGAAAATGGGTAACTTTCCTCCAGCACATACACAAACATCCATGTGGGCAGATGCTTAGTTTTTTACTGAATTATAAGCCAATATGCATTAAAATAGAAATATAATACATCATAAGTGAAGTAGTTCTTATCAGAACCCAGAACCAGTATTTGCCTTTTTTTTTTTTTTTTTTGAGACAGAGTCTCTGTCACCCAGCCTGGAGTACAGTGGTATGATCTCAGCTCACTGCAGCTTCCGTCTCCTAGGTTCAAGCAATTCTCTTGCCTCAGCCTCCCGAGTAGCTGGGACTGCAGGCATGTGGCACCACATCCAGCTAATTTTTGTATTTGTAGTAGAGATGGGGTTTCACCATGTTGGCTAGGCTGATCTTGAACTCCTAACCTCAGGTGATCCACCTGCCTTGGCCTCCCAAAGTGCTGGGGTTACAGGCACTTTGAATCTAAGAGGCAGAGGTTGCAGTGAACCAAGATCACACCACTGCACGCCAGCCTGGACAACAGAGCAAGACTATCTCCAAAAAAAAAAAAAAAAAAAAAAGAAAAGAAAACTCCAAAGCCAGTGTGTGCCTCCCTTCCTGTGGAAGGAGAACACAGGAATCTTTGCTTGGCTTCAGAGCTTGCAGAGGAGGTCTTTTTAGTGGGAATGGAGTTCATGACAGTTTGCAGGCAGACACCAGGCATCCTCTGGGCAAGTATTTTGTTATTGTGATTTTGTTGGCATCACTCATACAAAAGAGTGGATACAATGTATGTGTGTTCCATTTAATAGATAATAGTAGAGGCCAGGTGTGGTGGCTCATCCCTTTAATCTCAGCACTTTAGGAGGCTGAGGCGGGTGGATCACTTGAGGTCAGGAGTTTGAGACCAGCCTGGCCAACATGGTGAAACCCCATCTCTACTAAAAATACAAAGGTTAGCCGAGTGTGTTGGTGCATGCCTGTAATCCCAGCTACTCAGAAGTCTGAGGCAGGAGAATTGCTTGAACCTGGGAGGTGGAGGTTGCAGTGAGCCAATATCACACCACTGTACTCCAGCCTGGGTGACAGAGCGAGACACTCCCGCGTCAAAAAAAAAAAAATTATATACACACACACACACACACACATGAATGAATGAAGACCCATGTGATGACTTCAGTACTTTATGGCTTCCTGTGAGGGGCTGGGGCCCTGTCCTACTGCTCAGTGGTCTGCGTGGATGGCAGATGCTTCTTGCACTGTGTGTGAGAAACAAATGGCAACAGCTTGGCCTCGCCTCTCCAGGAGGCACCATCACAGACCTGGGGTGGCCCCAGAAGCCAGGAGGTGTAGTGACATGCTGTGCTTCTTCCCTGCCTGTAGGTCCTGGTCCAGTGGCGGGAGACTGCGTCAGTGCAGATATATTACCGACAGCAGGAGGACCGTGCCATCCAGGAGGCCCAGAAGGTGCTGGATAGGGGTAAGTGGGGCCCCCAGAAGCAAGTCATGTTGAGGAATGTGAAGACAGTGCTGTTGTGGAGATCCCTGTGGCCCCATAGTTTCTGTCTCCTCATACATGCCAGTTCCCTGTGGTTGCCATGACAAAGTACCACAGACTGGCAGCCTTCAGACAACACAAAATGACTCTCAGTTCCAGGGCCTGGCAGTCAGAGACGAAGGTGTGACAGGGCTGAGCTCCTCCCCAGGCTCTAGGGAGGGCCCTTCCTTGCCTCTCCCAGCTTGTTTCTTTCTGGTCATGGCTTTCCTGGACGTGTAGACCCATTGCTCCAGTCTTTGCCCCATCTTGACATGTCATTCCCATCCTGTGTCTCTGAGGCCCTTAGAAGGACTGTGGTCATATCGGATGAAGGGTCCACCCTACTCGAGTGTGATGCCATCTTAACCAATTACATCTGCAGCAAGCCTAGTGCCAGATAAAGTCACGATGGGAGGTTCCGGCAAGGGCATGAATACGGCAGGTCTGGAGGGAGCACTGTTCAGTCCACCTTAGAAATCTGTTCCCAACTGATTGCCAACCAACTTATGTTAAAATGAATGGCTAGAGCTTGATGTCTACAGAGAAATAAAAGAAGCTGGACTGGAGTTCAGGGTGGGTGGGGAGGAGGTTGTTTTGATGGGAAAGTCCTTGCTGCTTGTCAGGTCAGCCCCCACTGTGTTAGGGTCCTGCTTCATTGTCTAGCTGGGCCCTTGAATGTTTAGGGGCTGGAGACTTTCTAATTCGACCTCAGGAAGTCCCACTGCCTGCTGTATATACATCTTTGGAAAGGTTGCCGGGCACCGTGATGCACACCTGTAGTACCAGCTACTTGGGAGCCTGAGGTGGGAGGATCACTTGAGCCCAGGAGCTTGAGGCTGCAGTGAGCTGTGATCACACCACTGCACTCCAGCCTGGGAAACAAAATGAGACTCAGTCTCTCTCTGTTTTTTTTTTTTTCTTTTTCTTTTGAGACAGTCTCGTTCTGTTGCTCAAGCTGGAGTACAGTGACGCAATCTTGGCTCACTGCAACTTCCTCCTCCTGCGTTCAAGCGATTCTCCTGCCTCAGCCTCCCAAGTAGCTGGGACTACAGGTATGCGCCACCATGACCCGCTAATTTTTGTATTTTAAGTAAAGCAGGGTTTCACCATGTTGGCCAGGCTGGTCTCGAGCTCCTGACCTCAGGTGATTCACCTCCCTCAGCCTCCCAAAGTGCTGAAATTACAGGTGTGAACCACTGTGCCTGGCCGGGAACCCAGTCGCTTTTTAAAAATCTTTGGAAAGATAGTCTAGAACAGGAGTCTTTGCCCCTGCTTGCAGGATGCACAGACCAGTGGCACACCCGTGGGGAGCTGCCTCCTAACACAGCTAGAGGTCCCCTAGTCTCAGAGTGTCAGGAGGATCTGACACTCTGAAGGGAACAGCTCATTTTTAGAATAAATGAAAATATAAACAAAAATGGAAACAATTAGAAATGGTTTAAATTGGCCTACAGAGAAATTGACCAAGTTGTTAGGTTGGTTTAATAGAGTTTGCTCTAGGACAAAACTGAATTAGTTTTGGTTTGCTTCTGACTGTAGTGTGTGTGTTAATGAGCATGTTTCCACACACACATCCTGGGGACAAAACCCTGGGGTCAGCCATCCTGCATGGCTTCATTACTGTACCACGAACATGCTGCTGGGTCCTCGAGCTCCTCCTCAGCTCAGAAACCAGCACTGTGTTTCTAGTTCACTAAGAAAGAAGCTGAGAGGTTTAGCCAGCCCTTGGTTTCTGGAGCTTCTGCATCTGACCCTTTGGACACCTTACCCTGCAGCGTCGAGCTGCAACTGCAAACTGGCTTCTGGTCAGTTTGGGTCGGCTGCCTTAAGGGTCAGGTGCCCACTCCTGGCTGTGGTGGGAAGTTAGAGGTGACGGATTTGAGTGCAGCCCGAACCTGCTGCTCTCTGAAGGACTTTCCTTAGAAAGAGGTGGTGGCAGGCTTGGATTGCCACATCCATTACAGATGGGACGAGGAACTTGGGAGACTGGGCAGTGAGATAGTGTACACGGGCCGGGTGTGGTGGCTCATGCCTGTATTCCAGTGCTTTGGGAGGCCGAGGCAGGCAGATCATGACATGAGGCCAGGAGATTGAGACCATCCTGGCCAACATGGTGAAACTCCGTCTCTACTAAAAATACAAAAAAAAAAAAAAAAATGCTGGGCGTGGTGGCACGTGCCTATAATCCCAACTACTTGGGAGGCTCAGGCATGAGAATCACTTGAACCCAAGAGGTAGAGGTTTCCATGAGCCGAGATTGTGCCACTGCACTCCAGCCTTGTGACACAGTTAAGATTCCATCTCAAAAAAAAAAAAAAAAAAAAAAGACAGCATACACATAGTAGTATGCTCTACAGTAAATACCTGGGAAACAGTCGCCTGGCTTATTTTAAGGCCATGGTGTCTCAGGCACACCTTGGCAGGCCAAGGGTGGGGTTGGGTGCTGGGAGAAGGGACCAAGGGGAGGATGTCACAAGACTCATTATGCAGGGTGCTGAAGGTGCAGGCTGGGGGTCATAACCTGGCTCTGTGTGGCCTCCAGCAGGGCCCGCTTTGTGAGTCTCAATGTCTCCATCTGTAAAATGGGGATAACAGAGCCTACCTCTTGGGGTTGTTGTGGAGATAAGTGAGATGACAGGTAGATACACACTTAGGGCAGAGCCCAAGCATCAGCAGGCAGCATGAATGTGGGTGCCTCCTACTTGTGATCTGCTATCTTCCCTGCCTGCTCCAGTGGGTCCTGGAGGGCTCCTCATCTTTGCATCTGTGCCCTGCTCTCAATCCTTTTCTGTTGTCTCACAAAGAAAGTTCTCTCAGGGCCCAAGAAAGATTCATCAAAGGGAGAATCTGGTGACACAAAAGCAAAATGCAGGGTGTGGCCCATGCTGCAAAGCCCAGGGAATCAGAGGACGTGGCTTGGGCTGGTCTGACTGCTCTGACTAGGTCTTGGTTTCCATCCTGGCACAACGGGCTGCCGTCTCCTTCAAGCTGCAGCTCAAGTGGGGCTCCTTCTCCTCCCTCAGATGGAGGGTCTTCTTCCACATGCCCAGAAGCATTTTGCACGTGACTCTGAGGGGGCCCCTGCTACTCCTGGAGGCTGTGAACAGGCTTGTGGCTCTGGGAGGGCCCTTGGGGAGCACAGCAGTAAACACATCTGGTTCCACTCCCCAGGGAGCTCACTGTCGGCAAGGTGGTCAGAGCTGTCCCTAGAGAGGGGCCGTGGAACACGTGGTGGTTTTACCGTGTGGGCTGGACACCCGAATTCTATTCCCACATAGCCACCTCTGCTGTCTGCACCTTCACCATTACGTAGTCACTGGTGAAAATCCCACAAAACAGCAAACTCTGGCTTGGATCTGCCTTAGGCTGTCTCCGGACCTGGTTTCAGCGCTGGCGGGACTGCAGCCAGAGGTCAGCCCATCAGAGACTGCAGCTGGAGAGGGCAGCCCAGCACCACCACCGGCAGCTGCTGCTGGAGGGGCTGGCCCGATGGAAGACACACCATCTGGGGTGTGTCAGGAAGAGGGTGAGGCCAGCGGTGGCAGCTCTCCAAGATCCCCCTGCCTGGCAAGGGGTGTCCAGGCCGGAGACCATTTCTCAGGAAGGGGTCTCTCCAGGCAGCCGGTATGAGTGGTGGGTGGTTTAGGGTCCTGTAGGACAAGGCTGCAGGAGGCTTTCTGGGCATTTCGTGGAGGCTGAGGGGTTGTCAGCCCCAGAATCCATTGTCTCCCAGGGAAGATGGCTTAGCAGAAAAATCTGGTTCCTGCTGACCCTCGGCTTATCAGTCCTGGGGGATCTACAGAGTCCTCTAGGGACCCCCTGGCTGTGCAGGAGACCCCTGGCACCATCCAGCAGCCCTGGCAATAGGTGGACATTCAGCTGGGCTGGGAGCCTCACCCTGAAGCTGGGTTAGGTCAGGACCCACCCCAGGACATCTAGGCTAGTCACTGTCTCTGCACTTGCCCTTCCCCCAGCTCCTGCACAGGCAGAGCACCCAACTGCTGGCACAGAGACTCAGCCGGACGTGCTTCCGCCAGTGGAAACAACAGGTGGGAGCCCAGGAGATGTCCCCTCCGTACTCCTTTCTCCTTCCTCTGGCTTGTGAGGCCCGGGCAGTGAGTGACCTTTTAGTCACTCTAGCCCACACCTCTAGTTCAGTGTTTTCACTGTCACCCTCCCCAGGGCCACCTCCTCTACCACCTTCCAGTCATTTCCTGGCACCATCAGCTTCCTTCCATCTGTAGCCCGCATAAGACCAGTTACTCCAAGGCCTGGTTTCTCTACACTGTTGTATTAAAAAATACATCAGTGGGCTAGGCGTGGTGGCTCATACCTATAATCCCAGGACTTTGGGAGGCCAAGGCAGGAGGACCGCTTGAGTCCAGGAGTTCAAGACTAGCCTGGGCAACATAGTAAGACACTATCTCTACAGAAACAAAATAAAAATTAGCTGGGTGTAGGTAGTGCACACCTGTGGTCCCAGCTATTTGAGAGGCTGAGGTGGGAGGATCGCTGGAGCCCAAGAGGTCGAGGTTGCAGCGAGCTGTTATCATGCCACTGCACTCCCGCCTAGATGAGAATGAGATTCTATCTTAAAGAAAAAAAAAATCAGGCCAGGCACAGTGGCTCTTGCCTATAATCCCAGCACTTTGGGAGGCTGAGGTGGGTGGATCGCCTGAGGTCAGGAGTTCGAGACCAGCCTGGCCAACATGGCAAAACCCCGTCTCTACTAAAAATACAATTAGCTGGGCATGGTGGCATGTGCCTGTAATCCCAGCTACCAGGATGGCTGAGGCAAGAGGATTGCTTCCAGCCTGGGCAACAGAATGAGACTCCATCTCAAAAAAAAAAAAGCATAATATCTAAAAATTAATATAAAACGTGTTTTAAGGCTTTGCGGGGATCTTGATAAAAAGCCAGGAGGGATCATGCAGAGCAGCGCCTCACGTCCCCAGCTCCCTCCTCCCGCCCTATTGTCTCGTTCCCACCGTTCCGGGGACCTCAGCCCGCTGCCTCCACGCATCCCCCTGCAGGAGCCTTTTGCCACCTTCTTTCTTAAAAGTCCTTCCTTGGGTCACAGATGGAGCGTGTTGAGCACCTCACAGCCAGGCATGGGGCTGGCCCTTCCTAGTGGAGGAAGGGGAGCCTCGATTAGAGAGGGGGGGCGAGAGGGCCAAGCTGGGCAGGGCCCCGTTATCAGCACGGCCTCACAGAAGGGGCGATGGGGAAATGATCTGGTCTTTCTGGCCCTAGCTGGCAGCCAGGAGGCAGGAGCAGCAGGCGTCTGTGCGTGCCCTGTGGTTCTGGGCCTTCTCACTGCAGGCAAAGGTAATTGGGGCTCTGCATCCTGCCGTCCCTGTCTCTCCCTCAGGCCTAAGCCCTGCCTTGGGTGGAGGGAGGGCACTTGGTCTGTGGGGGATCCGTAAGCAGGGAGACCTGGGCCTCACCTCCTGTCCTCCCTGGAGGTGTGGGCCACGTGGCTGGCCTTTGTGCTGGAAAGGAGGAGGAAGAAGGCACGGCTGCAGCAGGCGCTCCAAGCCTACCAGGGGCAGCTCCTCCAGAAGGGTGCCATGCGGCTCCTGCGCTTTGCAGCTGGCATGAAGGCCTCTCGGCAGCAGCTGCAGGCCCAGCAGCAGGTCCAGGTAGGTCCAGGGCCCTACCCCTTCTTGTGAGGAGCAGGCAGGGTATGGCATGAGCTGACTGGAGGCTGTGTTGCAGGCAGCTCACAGTCTCCACCGTGCTGTCCGCCACTGTGCCACACTCTGGAAACAGAAGGTACTGGGCCGGGGCAGGGAGCCTCAGCCCCTGGCACCCATCGCAACCAGCAGAAAAGTGACGTTTGAGGATACCCTTCTCAATCGTATTGCTGCTGGGGCTGGGGATGCCACCCTGGAGACTAAGAGGCCACAGGCTCCTCAGCCTCAGGGAGCCCTGGGCCGCCTGGCTGCTGGGGAGCCCCATGCCCTGGAATTGTGAGTACCCCCATCCTCACCTTGTCTTCCTCGTTCACACCTTGGGCAGAAGTTTGGATGGCATATCAGGGAGGGAAAATGGGCCCTGACGGGATGGGATGGGCTGCTCATGGTCTTGTCACAGCTGAGCTGCTGGGAAACCCCTCTTGTGCGGCCAGATCCCGTCCCTCCCACAGCAAGAGGGAGAGAATGGAGTGGGATTTCCAGACCCTCTCTCCTCCTGCCCTCTCCCACCCTGCTGACAACGATCTTTTTCGGAGTCATACACTAGTTGACAAAGGGAACAAGCTCAGCTCCTGCCTGCGCCTGCCAGTCTCTCTCCTGCTCCCTCACAGCCAAGACACTGGTTTTTTGTCAGAAGCCCCTCATTCTTGTGTGAGCTGGCACCTGTCCCTCTGCCTACCCCTTCTATGGTCTCAAACCCTAACCTGCCCTGCCCTGTGCTGGTGAAGCTGGTGGCTCCCACAGCAACCAGTGCTGAGAGCCTTGGGCCTTGGGGATCTCAGGTGGGTGCATGGGGTCTGGGGCCTGGTCCCTGCTCTGCCCCTCACTGCCTGACCTTGATGGGAACCTGAATGTCTCAGGCTGCTCCCCTGTGACATGGACCCTGGTGACCTGTACACCTGCATCTCCAGGGTTGCTGTGCAGGTCAAAAGAGACAATGTGGGTGAAGCACCCCCCTGGCATCAGGTACCTTTTGTCGGAACTGCTGGGAGCTCTGTGGCCCAGGCCCATCCCAGCTTACTTGCTGACCTTGGCCTCACCTTCTCTGACCTTTAGTCTCCCTATAAAATTGGAAGGATCTGACTAGCAACTCCCCATCTCACAGAGATCTCAGACCCCCTGCAGCCCTTGGTGAGCCCAGGGGAATAGAACCCATGTTTCTTCCCAGCAACACTGCCCACTCATCGAGGAAGCAGCCGCGACGCCCACACTTCCTGCTGGAGGCTGTGCAGAGCCAGAGGTCCCTGGGGGTTGGCACTGTGGGGAGGCCGGGGTAGGTGGTCAGGGGGCCCCAAAGGCAGCTGGCACCTCCATCTGGGGCCTGTGTTTTGGCAGCCCTAGGGTGGGTGGCCCCCTTTCCTTCTTGTTCTTTGGTCCCAGAGGAGGGTCCTGTGGCCTGACCACACTTTTGCCTTCCCTCTACTCAGGCCTCAGAAGCTGCAGGAACATGGCCTAGGCATGGCTCAGCCAGCAGGTCCCTCCCTGACACAGCCCTTCCTGGCAGAGGCCCCGACAGCACCGGTCCCACACAGCCCCCTGCCTGGGGCCCTGTCCAGTGCCCCTGGCCCAAAGCAGCCCCCGACAGCAAGCACGGGTCTGGAGCTGCTGCTGCTGCCTCCTTCCTCCTCTATGCCCTGTGGGGCGGCTGCACCAGCCAGGGTATGTCTTCCATCAGCAGGCCTGGTCACTGGGTTCCCACTCTGGTCGGGCTTCTGGTGCTTTCTCATACCACAGCTGTACTCGGTTTTTCTGGAAGACCTTGGCACAGGGAGGCCACTCATCCATTTGACAGGCGTAGGTACCCACCATATACCAGGTCCAAGGGTCACAGCAGTGAACAGCCTGTCAAGGGCCTTGCCATCCTGAAGCTTATATTCTAGGCAGACAAGCAAAGAAAAACCCCTGCAGATCAGTAAAGAGGCTGCAGATCACGTGGGGTCCTGCAGGCCACGGTGAGAAGTAGTCTGGGATTTGAGAAGAGTAGGAAGTCAGCGAAGGGTACGGGCAGGGAGCACCGTGTCAGGTTTCTGTGCAGGCTGTGGTCACCATGACCACATGGTCCAGGCAAGCAATACTGGTGGCCTGGGCTCTGGTTACCATAGAGGGGACAGATACTCTCTTGGAGGCAGACAAGGCAGGACGTGCCCTGAGGCATTTGCTGAGTGACGGGAAAGAAGGAATGCAGGCTGATTTGGGCTGCTGACTTGAATAACTCGGGGAACAGTGGTTCCTGGAAGGAGGAACTCGGGGATGGGGACTAGTTTTGGGTGAAGCATCAAGAGTCTGTTTTGAAACCAGGCTCTTGATGTCAAGCTTGAGAGAACGCAGACGTTGAGTCTGACCTTCAGGGGAGAGGTCAGGGCCAGAGATCAAGAAGAGTCCTCAGCACAGCCGCAGCAGTCTAGGAGGAGAGTACAGGGGGAGGAGAGAGGGGTCGATGCTCCAAGCGGGGAGCCTGGGCAGGGACGGCCAGGGAGTGTGAGTTCAGTGATGGAGGTGAAAGCTGCTGTCAGGCCACCAAAGATGCTGGTTTCTGAATGGGGCTGAGGGGACAGGAAGGAGCCAGTTCCTGTGGTGAGTTTGGCCTTGTGAAGCCACTGACCCTGGCTAGAATGGGGTGTGGGTTTGAAAGGGTTTCGACCCCTGTCTGGTGATGTCTGCTCTCACTCGGGAGAGGAGGGCATGGAGGAGGCTGTGGGGTACTGGCCTTTCACTGACCACTTCTCACGTCAAAGCTCTGCAAGATCATGAGCTCAGAGTAAGGTAGGGCTGGAGGGTTGGGTAAGGCTAGGAACAGCTGCGCAGGCAGTGGAGGCACAAGGCAGACTGACAATACAGGGTGCTGTTGGGTGCCTGTGAGACTTTCTCCTACAGTAGCAGGCCCTGTGAGCAGGGGCAGGCTAGACACTGAATGAGCTGGCACGGCCACTGCTTGGAAAGCCCAGCTCCTGCAGCTGGGGCCTGGTCTTCCCCCATCCCTGCAGGGCAGGCAGTGCCCGTTCCCAGCTTCCTCCTAACTTCCCTGCTAAGCATCCACTCTTCTTTTCCTTTGCAGGTGTCAGCACAGCCAGCTACTCCTAGGCATATGCTCCAGCTCCCCCCATCCCTGGCCAGTGTCCCTGGCCCCCATCCACGCCTTCCTGGGGACTTCTCAGGCACCAGGACTGGGCCTGGGCTTTCAACTGCAGGTGTGTACCTGGGGCCTGCCAGGGCGGCAAGCATTCAGGCCACTCCCAGACCTGGGACTTGCTTACCCTGGTCCCAGACAAGAAAATGGTCTGAAACCAGCTCACTCCCGTCACCACAGGCTGCCTGGACCTTGAGGCTGAACTTGAGGGGATCCAGCAACAACTACTGCACTACCAGACCACCAAGCAGAACCTCTGGTGAGCCCTGCAGAACGCCTGTGGCCCTGGCCACGGGAGCAGGTGTTGCCTGGAAAGGTGGGCGGGAGGTTCCATTTCCCTGGCCAGCTGCCAGGGTCCTGTGGGTGATCTTGGTCTAGCCACAGAGGGGTGTGGGGAGCCCTCAGTGTGTGCTGTCCAGAAGGACCCCGCTCCACCATGGCCCTCTACCTGGCTCAGTACTGCTTAGGAAGGCCCAGGTCAGCCTCACCTGTGGACAGAGGCCCTCTTCCTAGGGTGGGATGACAAAGTTGAGCAAAACTCTAAAACCCTGATGAGGCCATGCTGTCCCCAGTGACTAACTGTAACACCGATATTAAAGGTGCAGAGGAGACAGGCCAGCTGCACTCAGTGGTGTGGGGGCCATCAACATACAGCGGCCTCAGAGTTTCAAGGGCAACAGACTGGTGCCCTCATCCTTGGCTCCGCACCGGAAAGAGGACAAGGAGTGTGTTTTCGTCCAGGGCCACCTGAGCTGCTGTCTGCTGGGGAGGGTGGAGGAGGCTGGGAGAGGAAAAAGAACAAGTGTTCGGCTCCCAGGCGGGGGCCTGCAGCTCAGGGGAGGGGCCCTACCAGCCCACCTTTCTCTCCACCTGATCCCCACATCAGAATTAGCTGAGGTGCCTCTCCCTGAGCTGGAGGGGGCTCCCCTAAGACTGCCAAGAACCCAGCCTGGCAGACAACGGATATCTTTACCCCTCAGGTCCTGCCAGCGGCAAGCAAGCAGCCTGCGCAGATGGCTGGAGCTGAACAGAGAGGAGCCCGGGCCTGAGGACCAGGAAGTAGAGCAGCAGGTGCAGAAAGAGCTAGAAGAGGTGAGGCCCCAGACCACCCCCAGGGACACCCTGGGCTGTGCTCCCTCTCAGCCCTGCCTGTCCCTCCCTGGCCCCAGGTGGAACTGCAGATCCAGCAGCTGGCAGAGGAGCTCCAGGCCCAGCGCCAGCCTATTGGCACCTGCATTGCCCGAATCCAGGCCCTGCGGCAGGCCCTGGGCTAGCATGTTCACCCCAGGGACGCAGGTGCAGGGCTGTGGGGAGGCCCCAGGCCACCTCTAGAAACAAAGCACAAAGTTATGACTTTTATTTTTTTATTTCAAAATGTTTTGCAATTAAATGAATTACTGTTCAGAAGTCTCCCACTTTTCATACAAAAATACTGTGCTACTGATACAGTTGAAAAAATTCAATGATGTCTCTCCTGCAGGAGAAGTTCACAATGTCCTCAGGGTCAGCATGAACTCTGGCTCTGTCCACTGGGACAGGTTTTCCAGGTACTGACCAACCATCCACCAAGGCTCCTCTGCCTCCAAGACAGACCCTGAATCCGTAGCAGCAACTTTCCCATATTTCACGTAGGGATATGGGAATGGGGACACACACTCTCCCCTGTCCCTAGCTGGGCCTACCACCTGCCTGCTCTGTTCACTATGGAACCATGAGGCAGGTTCAGCGATCGGTCTTGCCTGCTGCAGAGGACCTGGCCAGCTCCAGACGGTCACTGATCAGGTCCTGCAAAGGTCTGTATCGTTAATCAGTGTCCTCGGAAGACACTGGCAGAGTCCAGGGTGATGCATTCAGCCACAAGCACAAAGATTGCTTTTTCTAAAGAGCAGGATGAGGTGAATTTGGGAACAGAAAGCAGTTGTCATGAAGGCTGTGTGGCTCTGCTGGGGGAGGCAGGGGAAGGGCTTCCACAGTCTGTGCCCAGGAGGCACCTCACCCTGTGCAGCAGGAGAGTTAAGGCCAAAAAACAAAATGGGCCAACAGAAAACAGCCCAGGTGATGGGGAGGAGCAGCAAGAAGGGATATTACCGGTCATCTTAAAATGACAAGACCAACTGAAGGTTCAGTCAGGAATGCGGGTCTCCCATTTATACAATGTTTAAAAAGCTCCAAATGTGACAGATCGTTCCAGCCTGCACTTTTTATTTGTAGGGAAGGAATGGGATACTTTGAGGGCATGACAGGGCTCTCACCCCCTCTTTTGTACACCTCTGGAACTTGTGGGAGCTGAATCGTTCAAGTCCTACCTGGTCAGACTCCCACCCACCCCAAGGCAGGCCCTCACCTGGATGGCCTCATGGGCCTTCCCCTCTAAAAGACCCTCACTCTGTGTTTGGAAAAGATCCCTTAGCAGCCATAACAATGCAAGAGGCTCTAGAGGGAGCCCAGGGCCTCCCCAAAGCGGATTTTCTGTCCTGTTTTCAGCTGAAAATTGAAGTCCTTAGGGGCCTCGAAGATCAGCACGATGGTGGAGCCCAGGTTGAACTCGCCCAGGTGTTCGCCCTTGCGCATGGGGACGCCCTCTCTGTTGGTGTGCGTCACAAAGCTGAAGTCATTGTAGGAGCCTTTGCTGTGCCTCGGGCTGTTTGTGTGCAGGTCCTGCGGGTGATAGGCTGGGGGTCATCGGGGCCCAGGCCGTGAGGTGCAGTGTTACCCCACGTTTGGAGTCCCTCTGTTGCTTGTCCCCACCACCACCCAACCCAACTCCAAAACGGAGGTGAAGATGGCATCTTACGGACAGGTGGGCCTGGTCTAGCCAGATCTCACACACAGCTTTGACACCTGCTGTGATCTGTCCAGAAAGGACAGGACCCAGTTGGACCCAGTGGTCTCCATGCATGGTGCTAAGAAAGTGGCTCCTGTGGGAGCCAAGGCCATTGGTCACAAACTGACACCCAAAAAGGCTGTCCCTGTGGGCATGGTGGGCAGCAGACCTGTGAGTACTGACCACCTCACATGCTGTAACCAACACAAACCACCCCAAGCTCAACACTCCCTTTTTGTTCCCCCCATGCTCTCATCTTTAACCATGGTTCCTAACAGAAGCCAGGTGCCAGGCAGGGAGGTAATTCCCTCATCTCTCCCAGCCACCTCCAGCCAGCACTGCAAAGAAGAAGGGAGGCCTCAGCCACCAGCAGGTGGAGCAACCCATTCTCAGGACAGCTGCTCAGCAGAGCCAGACCTGACCAGAGATGTGGCCCCCTCTTAGAATTCAGTCCCAACACATCTAGCTGCACAGCAGACAAGGCAGGTAGACCCAAGAGGTCCAGCCCTTGGGCTTTCGCAGGGCCTGGATTCTGCTTACCCGGTCAAAGTAAATACGAATGGAGCCCACGTTGGTGGCCCCAACAGCCGTCAGTGAGAAGAAGCCATGTTTCCAGTCCCCCGTCAGGACCACCCGCTCATTATGGCAGAAGAGCTCTTTGATCCAGCGAGCCATGCCAGGGTTCACTGACATCAGGGAACCTGCAGAGGTAGGGAATGCTGCTACTCCCTGTCCAGAGCCTGTGTGTCTGCTCCAGGGCAGCCAAGACCCAGAGGGACTCATGGCCTATTGCCCCAATGTCATTCCACATGCTGAGCAGGCTGGAGCCCACGGTCCCCTGCCCACAACCAGCCTGCATAAAGTAGTCAGCTCCTGGCCTTGATGACCCTGGTATGGAGCCTGGTCCCCTGACACCAAGAAGCCAAGAGCCTCTGTGTGAAGCCATAGAGGCAGCCCTCCCACCCTCACGCTGGCCCCGGGCTGACCTGGGAAGTGGCGTCGGTGGGACACAGTCCAGTCGGTGGGAGAGTGGAAGCAGTGGTAGTCCCCAGGAGCCAGGTAAATGACACAGTGATAGAGCTCGTTCCCTTCTCGGGTGACCAGCTGGTTCTTAAAGGAGTCACATGAGGTGGCTGTGGAATGAAGTAGACATGGGGGCCACCAACACAGTGAGCACCCAGCACAGAGTCTGAGCATGGTCTGCACATGGATCTCAGGGAGGCCCCATACGTGCCAGCCTTGGATCCTTCCCCAGCATCCCCTCCCTCCCGATCCACACACAGCAGCAGGGCTGCCCAGCTCCGCCTGTGCAGTGACCCACCTGGTGGGAAGGGCAGGTCCTCTGTGCAGGTGCGTGGGCCCAGGAATGACTCCAGGGAGTAGGTGACCCCCTTTACCTGCTCTACCTCGCAGTTCTTCACCTGCCCAAAGTTGAGGATCCTTCCATCCGATGGGCTGATCTGGAAGGGCAGGAGGGCCTTGGTGTCAGGGAGTGCAGGAGACAGCCTCCCCTTCCCCTTGTCATCCTGCCCCTTCCAGATATGCTGGAGATGGGGGGTGCTGTGCTGGGCAGGGGAGGCCCAGCTGTGGAGTCAGGAAAAAGTCTCATTTCTTGCAGGAAGAAAGGGTGAGGCCTTACCACACTGTGCAGGCCACAGACAGGCCGGGCCTGTGGCTTCAGCTTGCGCCGGAAGAACTCGCTGAGGTTGCGGTAGTGATGCAGGTCCTCCACAGCCGCCTCTTTCATGTTCACCCCGAAGGTCCAGATGTACAGGCTATAGACAGGCCTACGCAGCCAGTGTGGCAGCTCCACCTGGTTGAGGCGGCCCCAGGCCCGTGACAGCAAACGTGTCGGCACTGACTTGTACAAAGCCACCTGCAGGCCACAGGGCATGGGGCTGAGGTGACCACACTGCCCCAGCTCAAAGAGCTCAAGCGCTGTCATTAGCCCACCTCCCACTTCAGGAGAGAATCTGCGCCCCACAAAGGCCACCAGGGCCCAGGTACCCCACGCTGCTTTTGTGATGTGGCTGTTTATCACTGGGAACCAGACTGTACCTGCCAACTCCTGCCACACAGTGCTCGGTTTACATACAACTCGAGTGGTTTTCATCATTTGATGCAAAAGTCAAATAGCAACTGCTCCAGGCCCAAAGCAAGAGACGGCCAGCAGTCTTACTTTTTAAAGTAGGGGTTGGAAATGGATTTGACCCTAACTACAGTGTGTGACCCTAGCCACGGTGACCCCAGTATCACAGTGTGTGGGGAGGTGATGGGCGTCTTGCCAGTCACTGCCCATATCCCAGGCCACTAGAAAAAGGAGGCGGCTCCCAGGTGCGTGGAAAAAGTCTACAGCCCAAAGTATGTCCCTCTTAACAGGAAGTGAGGACACCCTGAGCACCAACATCAGGGATTTTCAGACGTAGACCTGCATTATCACTGTCACCTGGGCCTGAGCTGCAGACCCAGGGTCCACAGCCCCTCAATGTCCAGCCAGCCCTCTGAGGGCTTGGACGAAGCCAGTCGGAGAAGCCCAGCCCTGCTGAGCCCCACCTTGGCCCCACGGCTGGCTTTATGTTCAGTGTTCTGCTGTGACGTGAGTCAGGACATAAAGCTGTCTGCACCTGGGGTTCCTCCCAAGAGGCAAAGGGAAGTCATTCCCTCTGTTCTCTCTTCCTCCAGGGAAGCCTGCAGCAGCTGAAGACAGACGATGGTCTGGGGACAGGCAATGGGTCCCACGAGTTGGTCCCAGAGCCCTCTAGCAGGGCCAGGTACCCAGGAAGTGGCAGCCTCTCAAACTTCAGGTGCTGCTGCCACTGTAGAAACTGCCTCTAATGGGCAACTGCTGCTTCTCTAAACACAACAAAGACACCAACTCCCCAAGGTGTAAAAGTGATTTTACTCCACTTTTGAACACCTCTCCAAGGTAAAAAATTAGCAGCTCCCAGAGAGCTGCTCTTACCCCTCTCAGCTGATGCTGTCATGCAGAAGGGCTGTGTGAGCCCCGGCCCTTCCCAGGCACAGGCTGGACCCTGAGCTAATATCCAGGATGCCTCAATGCCCCTGAGCTCCAGTGACACCCACCTGAATGTCAAAGGCCCAGGAACAGGGTTTCCTCGGGGCCAACCAGCCTGGGAAGCCAAGGGCAAGAGCGAGCTCTCTAGGGACCAGGAGGGGCCAGGTCAGTTCCCTTGCACAATCCTGGAATAGGCTTCTGGGTTCCGTTCACCCTAAGGGACCCAAACAAACTCCATCTTTCCTGAACCACCCCTCCGGCATCCCAGAATTAGTTTGGCTTCTGCTCAAAATCACCTCTAAGCTTTTTTCTGCCCGAACACAGAAAAGTCAGAGACAGACACCATTTTCTGAATCCCCAGACTGGGTTCCTTCCAGAACCAGAGCCCCAAATGGCAGACACAAGGCAGGCTACGGGAGTGGACAGGGCATGGCAGGCCCTGGAAGTCACTCTTTCACAGCCCAGGTAGTGGCCTTCTCAAAAGCTGCCCTGCCCTTGCCCACCAATGAACCTTGCAACCCTGACCCACTGAAGATATAGCTATGACATATGTTCTGACAGCCCATCTCCTCCTTGGTCTCTCCAGCACCTCAACCTCAGGCCTGCCCGGGGGGAGGTCCGAGCCACGGGGCTGCGCACACTTACCCTGCTCACAGGCCTCCATCCCACCCGGCTGAGCGGTCTGAGGGCGCCGAAAGGCAGGAGGTAGTAGAGGACGGTCAAGGGCCAGGAGCGCAGTTTCAGAGCGGGTCTGGACATGCAGCTCAGCTGCCCCAGCCTCCGCCTCAGGGCCAGCTGGGGGAAGTGCAACCTGCAAGGCACAGGTCCACACAGAGCCAGGTCAGTGGCCAGCCTCTGGGCGGGACCCAGGAGGTTGCCACCTGCACCCGGGGCAGAACCCCTCCTGTCTGCCCACCCTCGGCAAGCTGCCTCGCTGTGGGGTGATGGACCCCGGCAAGCACTGGCTATACCGCCTTGTCCCAATCCCATTCTGATTTGGGTTGGGCTGCCTCTGGCTGGCAGACTCATTTCCCAGATTCTCCCACCCGCCAGCAAGCTGGGGAGGCTGGGAACGTGGGGGCAGCTGTGGGGAACCTCAGCTGCAGCAGCTCCCAGCGAGGGCCTCCAGGCCCAATCACCTGGGCCCAGGGAGGGGAGTAGGGTGCAGGGCCTGCCTCGCATCTCTCAGCCTCCACGGCCCTGGAGAGTGGGCCCCAGGGGTCAGCTCTACTGCACGGGCACGGGCACTGGCACTGGCACAGCAGTGTGTAGCACTGAGAAGCTGCGACCCAGCCAGCTGGGTAACCATCTGCTGAGTCTTCTGCTACCATCCTTTGCGGGATCTGGGATATTCTTTTCATGGTTCCAGGCCCCGTTTCCTCATCTGCTAACTTAAGGGACCATGACCCGACAAGATCTCGAAAGGAGTACTTACACCTCCACACACCCCACCACACAGCTACGGCTCCATCCATTTGCATGGTCTTTCTATAACAGCCCAGGTTCTCCAAAACCCATCCACAGTTTTGTGAACAAAACCTCCCCACCACAAGCTCTCAAGCCACCTGCCTACTCTGCTAGGGCCACACAGACACATACACATACACGACCCAAGCCCCTCCTTTCAGCAAAGGCAGACACACACACATACACAGACACACAATCCCTCTCCTTTCAGCAAAGGTGAACACACACACACACACACGACCCCCCTCCTTTCTGCAAAAGTGGACACACACACACACCCCAAGCCCCTCCTTTCTGCAAAGGTGGGGACACACACACACACACACACACGACCCAAGCTCCTCCTTTCTGCAAAGGTGGGCAGGCCTCTCCCCAGCATCCCAGCATAAATGCAGGGCAGTCAGCAGGGGCTCAGCTTCACCAGAGCCACAGGGCCTTTCCATTAGAACCCTGGCCTCCTGAGCCAAAACAAGGCCCACCCCATCCTGCCCATGCCTAGGCCTAGCAAATGCTCCTGAGGCCCAGGGTAGCCTGCAGGACACCACATTGCCATCCATTCAGAATGTCCCCAGGCCTGTTTCCTCATCTGCAAAGTGACTGCATTTGGCTAATCTACTGCTGCCATCTGGGACTGTGCTCTCAAGAGAAGCTGACTCCTCTCTCCCAGTTGCTGAGCAAACCAAGGAACAAAGCGGCATTTCAGCTGATAGCAGCAGCAGAGCAGACGGGAGAGGCAAGCCGGCAGTGAGGCCCTGCTCAGTTCGGAGGCGGCTGCATCCACAGCTCCTGGGTGCCTGCTTTCTCTCCCATACCACCCAGTGTGTTTTTAAAAGGTCCAGGAAGGTGGCAGGGGCCAAGCAAAGACAAATCACTGCTCCCCTCTGGCTTCCCACCTGTCCTGCTCACTGCAGAAGTGCAGGGACCAATCCGAGAAGAGCTGCACCCCTCCTCCCAGCAGGAAGGGGGATGGGGAAGCCTCTCTGGGGGGGGGGGGGGGGGGGGCACAGAGGCAAGGATCTGGGGTGGGAGGAGGGGGCCTGGAAACACCAGGGTGGGGAAGACGGCAGGCATGAGGTCTGAGACCCACTGGCTGCCTCCCCCTGCTGGGCCCTCCTCCTGGTTGGAACCAAAGGTACCTGAAGCGGGCTCTCCGACTCAGGGCGCTCAGGCCCCCCAGGCCGGGCCCCTCCAGCCTCGGGGGCTGACCACCAGTCCCCTTGCCGCCACCTCCACTGCGAGGCCGCTGGATGTGAACTCTGACCTTCCGGAGGTCATGGCGGGGAGCCGTGGGGTTAGGGCGCGGTGGGCAGCATCTCACCATTTCGCCGCACGGAGCTCTGGTCCTCGCCGCGCCTCTGACTGACACATCATGGGCCGGCGCAGGGAGGGCGGGGCGAGGCTCACTCGCTCACTCCCTTTGTTTTCCTCTTTCCTCCCCTTCCCTGGAGCCAGAGGATCTCCTGTGCTGTCACTGCTTCAGGGCCTCTGCCTCCACGAGGCCGGTTGGTGGCGCCACTTCCTGGGATTGGTTCAGTCTCGGTGGCTCACAGGGTGCAGGTTAGAGGGTCAGGGCTATTGCAGACAGACAGGCACTGGTCACACACCTGCTCAGGTCACCTGCTCAGGGCTTGCAGCCCAGTGCAAAAGCCCCTGCACTTAAGCCCACTGTCCCCAGGCCTGGCAACCTGCATTGTCCCTGCTGCCTGGGGCTGAGCCAGCCTGCACTGCTCATCCTCTTCCTCAGCTGGCCTGGGGAGCAGCAGTGGGGCAAGGCCCTTGGGCTGCCTGATCCAGTAAGCCATGGCAGGGAAGGGACCAGCCAGTGCTGCCAGGGCTTCCAGGCACCTCTCAGCTCCAAACACACAAGGTGGGAACCTGAGCCGTGTACACCGGTCTGTGGTTTGGCCCCTCCCTCGCTAGGATCTGACCCATTTTCGATTCAGGTTACAAAGTAGCATCTGAAGATTAAGATGAGAGGGGAAGCCAGGAGAGGTGTCCTGGTGAGAACCTGGCCTCTTACCTGCTCCAGGTCTCTCCTCACCCCTCTGGCTTTGACCCCTCCACCAACACACACAAAATACATGGCTCCTTACTCCAGGCCTCCTCAGAAGCTGGGAACAGGCCAGGACCGCAGCCCAAACTAGTTCCACCCCTCTTTTTCTATCTTTGCTTCAGAAAACACTATCTGGGAGGACACGCCCGGTCCCTACAAAGCCTCTCCACACTGGCTTGCACAGATAGTGGAAGGACACGCCCAGCCCCTACAAAGCCTCTCCACATTGGCCTGCACAGATAGTGGCTGCTATCTCAGCCCAGGTAATCCAGACCCTCCAGGATATGGGCTAACAGGGGCCCGGCCTTCAACCCTGACCACTACTGCTCAAGAAGAGGGCAGACACCTGTCACCATCCTTAGATGATGAAATGTGGTTCCAAGAGCTGCTGCCTAAAGCAAAGAATGGGCCAGACAAAACCAGCACACTGTAAGCCCAGTTCAGACGTGGTTGTGGCCGCGCACAGTCAAACGTCTGACACCCTGGCAAACCCTCCTCAGCCAAAGAAGTGAACGTTCCACCTGGGCACCTGCCTGCAAGTCACCTAATCCCTGAGTATGGGATTCAGTGGCCTCTCGGAATAGGACAGTAAGGTGACTAAGATCTGGACACAAGCGTGGATTTCTCCCCCTGATCCAGGCAGTGTTGGGCTAGTTCAGGCCCCTCTCCTAAATGACTGGCGAGGACAGCTACGGCAGATGGGCCAGGCAGGAGGGCACCCATCCACCAGGCCTCACCCCGCAAACAGATACACACCAGCATCCTCCCCCGGGAAGATGCGGGCACCAAGAGATCGGCACCAGCACAAGAGGCCCATCCTGTCACCAGGCCCAGGCCCACGGCTCCACAGACACCCTGCTTCAGCCCTCCAGGGCCATGTCACTCCAATCACTCCACACATGTAGGGAGCACACACCCCACCCTCCCTGATCCACCAGGCTCCATGCTGGCCTCCTGCCAGCTGCCAGGGAAACAGAGGGGTGACAGCAGTCAAAGGTGAGCCTGGTGCCTGGTTCCAAAGGGGAGGCTCTTTCGCTGGTTGATAGAGTGCAGACTTGGAGCTGAGCTCACAGCCAGAATCCACAGGGAGGCAAGGATGGCCTTGTGGGGAGACGGAGAGGAGGGGCTTTGATGACACCAGCCTTCTGCCAGTTTTCCTCACTTACCTACCCTGTGGGACAGTGACCACCACAGCCCTGAATGTGTCAGATAGACATGAACCCACATAAACCCAGCTCAGCCAAAAACCTTGAGTTCACAAAGCAGGTTCCCCTGTGAAAACCTTGATGTTTCATTCTCCCATGGTGCTATGAGGGGCGGGGTCTGGCCTCCAGTCTCAGGGCACTACTGAAGAATTAAAGCACACGAGGCCAGGGGGCACGTCAGATGCCCATGAGGGAAAGGTGGGCCCTGGCTCAGAAGCTAGAGGAGGATGGCCCAAGGAGCTGCTGCCCTGGCCCTGCAGAGACTCTAAGAACCATCCTGAGAGGCCAGGCTGGGGCACCCCACCTGCAGGTACGCCCAGTGAGAGGCAGGGGGTCCCTGCCCATTCAGATCCTTGCTTTATCACTATTCTACCTCTTCTAAAACAGGCACCGAAACCAGGGTGTCTGTGCCTCCAAATCACCACCTGATGGCCCCAAAAGATCACCATGGAGTAGAATGAATCCAGCTTTGCCCCAGAACACAGGCTGGGCACCGTCTGACCCACTAAGAGCTGCAGGATGGAGGGAAGGGGCCCCTAGAGGTCACTGCCTTCTCAATTCCCAAGGGTAAAGCCACTTCGTTGGCCAGCAGTTTCTGGCCTCCTCATTTCAGAGCCCAGGTTGCCCTCTGCCTGTGACAACCCTGGGACCCCAAGCCAGAGATTTTATCCTCTGGCTGTCTGAGGGTGACATGGAGAGGGAGCCTCAGGCCCTAGATGAGGAACTTGCAAGAAGGGTACCCAGAATCCAGGAAGCACTGACACTTTCCCTCCCATGCCTCAAAGACACTCTGTGGAGATGAGTTTAGGGTTGTGATCAGTAGGACTTTAATGTCATTACATGGCCCGAGGGCCAGTCACCTGCAACAGGAGAACTCAGAGCACTTTGTGGCTGGTGACAACCTGGTCACTGCAATCCTGGCTGCCTTCCTCCACCTCCACCCTGAGAGCAGGGAAAGGCCTTGGCAAGTCACAGGTACTAAGTCTTGGTTTGTACATCTGGAAAATGGGAAAGGAAATTCCTCCTGCCCACCCCCTTGTGGCTCAGCGCACAGCTGCAACCATGGCCCGGAACAACTGCTCAGAAACCCCACTTTCACCCAGGAGCTTGACGCTGCCTCACCTTACCCTGCAGACCTGGCTTCAACACCTCACCTCTCTTTCCAACAAAAAGTCAACCCCACACTCTGGTGGGGGCAGGGGTTTCCACCACAGGGAAGACGGAAATAAAAGGGGCTTAGGTGGCAGTTCTAAAACAGGAACCCAAACCTTGGGGGCAGTGACTGGCCTTGCGAGTAGGAAGCAATGGCTGATAGGACCATATGGGGGACTGGGGACCACCTCTGCCAGGACATGCTGTTCTGGGGATCCATACCAGACCAAGAAGGCAGTGTCCTCGCCCATCCCTCACCAACCGGGGTGAAGACCACAGTACCCTCCCTCAGCCGAATGGAAGTCGATGCATGGACCCAGGCCAAGCAGCAGTTACTACAGGTGTGGGTTGGGGCGTACAAGCATGTGTGCATGCAGGGGTGGGGGTGTGAGTGTAGGTGCAAGGGTGTGAGCATGCCGGATATGTGTGTAGGTGCGAGGGTGTGTTCATATAGGTGTGCATGTATAGGTGTGAAGGCATGTGCAGGTAAGGGTGTGAGAGTGTGTGCGCAGGGGTGTGTAGGTGAGGGTGTGTGTGTAGGTGTAAGGTTGTGTGTGCGGTGTTGGTGTGTGTGGGTGTAGGGGTGTAAGTGCAAAGGTGTGTTATGCATACAGGTGGTGTGTGTGTAGGTGTGAGGGTGTGCATGTAGGTGGTATGTGTATAGGTATGGGTGTGTGTAGGTGCAGGGGTGTGGAGCTTCAGGGTGTGTGTAGGTGGGGGGCCGTGCACTCCCCCCAGGGGGCGATGGGCTTTCTCCCCAGCTCAGTTGAGGCATGGCCACCCGGCAGTAGCTTTCGTCCAGTGGGGCGACAACCCTGCCTTCCCTGCGTTCCAGGGCTAGAAGCAGGCAAACTTCCCAAGCAGGGGCCCTGGGAAAATGGTCCTCCCTGGGCGTCACGGACCAGGGAGCAAAGAGAAGGGCCCAGAGGCGCCTTTCGGGCACAGTCAGTGGCAGGCAGCCCCGGGAAGAGGGCAAGCAGGACTCGCAGGGATCTGTCCCAGCTGCCCAAAGACACAGAACCTCTTCTCAGACAACTCTGGGTGCTGTGGGGAAACCGGCTCTGGGCAGAGGCAGCGAGCCTGCCACCTGCCTCCCTGGCCCTCAGGCGCTGACCCGCCCGACCCGGCGCTGCCCTCTTCCCAGGTGCCCTGACCCCAGGCTCGGCAGCACGGAGGAGACTGGAGCTTTCAGGGCCTGAGGCGCCCCAGCCCGGGCCCCCACAATGCCAGCCAGCACCCCCTCACTTCCCGCAACTGCCTCACTTCCCGTAAGCCCCGCACTTCCCGCACCCGCCCCAGGCAGGAGATGGACGTGGAGGAAGTGATCTCACGCAGCCGGGGCCGTGCCCACGAGGGGAGGGAAAAGCCCACAACTCGCTCAAGGCTGTCCAAAGGGCTCCTCAGGCCGGGGCCGCATCGTCGCAGCTAGGAGGACCAACTGACGACCGAACGCGCTAGAAGGGCACCTCCACCCGGGACTGGTCCTCTGAGCAGGTGGGGCGGGGCGGGGCGCCTCCCTGAGAAGTCACCTGTGGCTCCTGGTCAGGCCGGGGCACCGGCTCCACTCGCTCACTCTCAGGTGGCTCCAGCTTCCGGGATCCAACTCCCCGGAGGCGCTCCCAGAGCCGGGAAGCCTTGAGGCGAGTGGGCGGGGCCCAGGCTCCAGCCACTCAGACTACCAGGGGCGGGGGCAGGAGGCCGACCCCAGCCACCCTTAAAGCCGCAGCTCCCTCGGAGACCCAGTCCTGCAGCTCCGTCAGCCCAACCTCAGGGCCCCTTTAAGAGGAAGGGCCAAGGCTGGGGAGAAGGGGAAGGGCAGCGGGCACCAGCTCTGCCTGGTCACGGTCACGGTAGGACCCCTGCTCAGGCAGCAAGGTGGGCCTGGCTGCTCCCAAGGGATACCTCCTGCCTGTCCTCGGTCTCTGTGCGCTGGTCTGTGAGCCTCCTGTCCCCATCCCGTGGCTGGCCTCCCAGAGCAGCTGCCTTCCCTCACCACCCCCCACCCAACACTAGGCGAACGCAGGACCCCACGTGCTGCTGTCTTCACTGAGGACCAGCTTCTTCACTGGACTGAACAGAAAGCTACCCCTGCTAGTCCTGGAAGCTCCGGAGAAGGCAAAATCCTTGATCTTTCCCACACCCCATCCTGAAGCTACAAGGCTGCTCCCACCCCCACCTTCTTGCCTTCCAGGCACGCACACCCCTGACTCCAAAACTGATGTAGACCAGTAAACAGGGACACCCATGAACAAGGTCCAACCGCCCCAGCCTAGAGCACACAGGCCTCCCTGCTTCACTACTAGGACGCAAATCCCATGGGGATGATGTGTGCTGTGTCTTCCCACCCCACTAGAGGACCCTAGTCTGCGGGTCAGCAGCCCACCCCATACCCACACAGTGCCAGGCACCCAACAAGCATTCAGCCTACATGGGATAGGACCAATCAGCTTAACTCTTTTAGGAGAGGGGAAAAGCCTGAGGGGGATCACCATTCAACCAAAGAAAGGGTGTGGCATTAAGTAGCCTCATTCACATCTGTGGGCGCAACTGAGCACCCGCATCCCCTATTCCATGGCAAGATAGCCTTGGAAGTCTCAAGTCTCCTCATTCTGAGCCACTGAACGGGATACAATTCCAGCTCCTTCTCACCACTGAGATCTTTGTTTCTAAAACAACTAAGGTTTGGGGCCAGGCATGGTGGCTCTTGCCTGTAATCCTAGCACTTTGGGAGCCAAGGTGGGAGGATCACTTCAGCTCAGGAGTTCGAGACCAGCATGGACAACATAGTGAGACCTTTGTCTTTCTTTTTTTTAAAACCAAAAATAAAATAAGGTTTGGAACAGGAGGAGAGGGCCTGTAGGGCTTGTGGAGAAATTGGGCGATGGACCAAGCCTGGAATAGGACCTAAAGGCGTGCAGTCACAGCCCCACAAACCTATCATCTTTACCTGGATCAGCCCAAGCAAGTGCTGCATGACAAGCCACAGCCCTGAGATGCCGGGGAGGAAGACAGACAGAGTCCTCCTTCATGGACTTCCATGATCTTTCACATCTACAGTGCACCCATGGGAACAGGGAGGCAGAGGTGAACAAGGCATAGTGCAAACCCTAAGGGCCGCAGAATTTGGTACAGGGGTGGCAGATACCTTAAACACAGCTGCTCCTAATATTCTCCTGTCCAGACAGCACTACAGATCTTCAAACAGTGTCGTCACAACACTGATGAGAAAAAAAATCTATTCCAGCCAGGGCTACTGTCTGTGTGGAGTGTGCACGTTCTCCCCATGTCTGCATGGGTGTTCTCTGAGCACCCTACTTTCCTTCACATCCCAAAGCTGTGCACATCAGGCTCACTGGTGTGTGTAAATGGTCCCAGTCCGAGTGTGTGTGGGTGTGGGTGTGCACTGCCATGGGAAGGCGTCCTGTCCAGGGCTGGTTTCCACCTTGTGCTGGGCCCTGAGCTGCTGGGATAGGATCTAGCCACCTGCAACCCTGAACTGCAGTAATTAGGTAAATAATGATCTAACTTGTTTTTATTAATCTTTCATAAATGCATGTATAGCTCACATTTCAATGGTTAATATTAGAAATGTTTGGGGTCTTGAAAAGTTCAGTGATGTTTTTGTGGTCAGAAACATCCACAGGAACTTAACTCTTGCTTATGTCAATTCGCCTTTGGTAAAACTGGTTTCATTCTACAATGCTTTGCTTAAAGGTGAAGATCCCAAAAACCTATCATCAAGATTGAAAGCTTAGTGTAACTGATCCCAGCATTCTCAGAGCCTCAAAGAAACTTCAGACCCCTTCCCACCTCAGCTCCAAGGAAACACCATATGATATGGGATAAAAAGCAGTTAAAACACAAAAAGATGTTGATGCAAAATCCTAGCACCACGAACTTTCAGAACTGGAAAGACCCTGGAAGACCACTGTGACTTTCTCAAAGCTTCTAGTACTTACCAGGCCACATGTCCCTGGGCACAGAACAAAACCATGTCCCAGTTAGACCAGGGAAGAAAGATCTGTAAGGGAAAGCCAGATTGTGCACATATTCTACCTCCCATATTCTGAGAGATCTCTGGGACTCCCACACTCTTCCCTGTGGAATAGCCAGCTCTGCTAAACTGCATCTACCAGCATTGCTTTTTAACCATTCTAAGGCAGATCGGTGTTTAAAAATCTATAAACCAGGCCAGGTGTGGTGGCTCACGCCTGTAATGCCATCATTTTGGGAGGCTGAGGTGAGTGGATCTCCTGAGGTCAAGAGATTGAGACCAGCCTGGCCAACATGGTGAAACCCCATCTCTACTAAAAATACAAAAATTAGCTGGGTGTGGTGGTGGGCACCTGTAGTCCCAGCTACTTGGGAGGCTGAGGCAGGAGAATCGATTGAACTTGGCAGGCGGAGGCTGCAGTGAGCCAAGATCACACCATTGCCCTCCAGCCTGGGCAACAAGAGTAAAACTCTGTCTCAAAGAAAAACAAAAACATAAACCACTCCACAAGTCAGCCAAGATTAGTACTTTCCCACCTTCCAAACAGACTTCCACCACATATATTTTCAGTGAGGGAAATGCCTCTGGATTTCAAACAACCATTTACAGTGAATTTCCTTAGGAAAAAAAAATTCTCTGGAAATGTACTTTCCTACCTTGTATTTATTTCCTTCAGGCCATGCAGTCCTTTATTTCCACTCCTCCCACTCTGTTAGGACTCCCTCGGGTGGGAGTGCCACCTAGTGTCACTGTAAGGCTCTGCAGGCTCCCAGGCCACCTGCAGAGGGAGGCCTCCCTGCCTCAGTCAACCCACCTGTATTCTCTGCCAGGTCCCAGCTATGTGAATTTCATACACTACCTCTAGAGGGATGCCCTATGCCAGGGAACAGAAGGTAGCTGCGGAACAGGGGTGGCAGGTGTCCTCAGCTAATCCTCATTTCCTGGCTCTTGGCTAATTCTCATTCCCTGAGGGCTAATTCTCATTCCCAAAGCCCCCTCAAGGAAGATGGCTAGTGTCCTAACGGCTAGTACAAGAAACCACAGGCAGGCATCAGCCTCCCAGATGTCTGGGCAGAGAGGCCCAGCAATCACAAAGCGCCTTCAGGCTATTTCTCCACACACCAGATTCTCCTATCCCTGCCCAACTCCCTGCTAGTGTTTGAGAATGGTTTTTAGCAGTCCCACTGTGAGATGTCCCGGATACTCCTAGTCCATTCAGAGCCCCACCAGCAGCTCCCCCAAGGACGCTGCCCAGGTACTGAGGAAGGGTAGACTGAGGTGGAATAAAGAAAAAGTGCAGCCGGACGCGGTGGCTCACACCTGTAATCCCAGCACTTTGGAAGGCCAAGGGGGGCGGATCACCTGAGGTCAGGAGATCAAGACCATCCTGGCGAACACAGTGAAACCCCGTCTCTACTAAAAATACAAAAATCAGCTGAGTGTGGTGGTGTGAACGTGTAGTCCCAGCTACTTGGGAGGCTGAGGCAGGAGAATCGCCTGAACCCAGGAGGTGGAGGTTGCAGTGAGCCAAGATCACGCTACTGCACTCCAGCCTAGGCAACAGAGTGAGACTCTGTCTCGAAAAGAAAAGAAAAGAAACACACACACACACACACACAATCAACAACAACAAAAAACTTCTCATGAGCTTCTCCTGTCCTCATGAGCACACTATAAGATGGTTCTCTTGTCCCTATTTCACAGACAGCGAAATTGAGGCTAGCAGCCAACTGGTCGCCTAGTTGGAATTCTATTCGACTATGCTCTTTTCTCTGCATGATTCATTACTATGTTAATTTAAAGTCCAAATCCTTTAGCAGACACCATCCAGGTTCCCTGAAATAAGGAACAACAGAATAACGTCTCAAGTTAAAATTAGGTGCCGCAGGGGTTGATCGTTCTTCCCCTGTTCGTGGTCTTCCAGACTTTCTAGTTCCAGGAACTCATCTGGAGTGTCTGTACAGGTCACAGAGGTTACCATGCATCCATGGTGCCATCAGTCAGCCTAAAAGACCTTACAGGCAGGTCCCATGAGATCATGCATTGGCGAGGACAGGAAGAGCGGAAAGGCACAGTGGAAGCGTCCAGCTGTGACCTTGGAGCAGCTGAAGAGGCAGCAGTGGCTCAGGCTAGGAGGTGGCAAGAGGTGGGTGGGATCAGTGATAGCTAGGGAATTTCAGTGACCTCCAGAAATTCAGGAGCGTGAGCTGCTCTGAGATACCTAAAGGTGGAAGTCATAGGAGGGGCTGAGGGATCAGAAGTTTCCTCTCTTTACCTGATTATGTCTTACTCAATCTTTAAAAGCCAGTTCCAAGGACATTTCTCAAAGTGTTATTTTATTTTTTCGGAACTGGGTCATCTTCCTTCAAGCTCCCCAAGCTCCCAGAGCTCTTACCTTATTGCAATACGGTCCTCTGTCTTGTACTTTGGCTCTCTTTGGTCTTATTTTCCCAGTTAATTTTCCTAGACCAGAAGTGCCTGTGTTAGGTCCCTTTCTCCTTTTTACATTCAGTATCTCCTAGATCCTACACTTATCAAGAGAAGAGACCCCGTTTCAGAATCTTGCCCACAATCTGGCCAGAACGCTTCACACCGTAATGACACGGTGATTCTTGTCTCCTCTTCCTCCACATCCTCCTTCTCTTCCTTCACCTGCTCCTCCTCTTCTTCCACCTCCCCGCTTCCTCCTCCTCCTCCTCCTCCCTTTTTCTCCTTCCTCTTTTTCCTTCTCTTCTTCCTCCTCCTCCTTCTCCCTCTAGTTCTCCTTCTTCTTCCTCTTCTTTTTTATTTTTATTTTTTAGAGACAGAGGCTTGCTTTGTTGCCCAGGATAGAGTGCAGTGATGTGATCAGAGCTCACAGCAGCCTCAATCTCCTGGGCTCGAGCAACCCTCCCACTTCAGCCTCTCAAGTAGCTGGGACTACAGGCACACAATGCTATGCCCAGCTAATTTATTTTATTTTTCATAGAGATGGGGTCTCACTATGCTGCCTAGACTGGTCTTAAACTCCTGACCTCAAGGGATCCTCCCACTCCAGCCTTCCAAAGTACCGAGATTCCAGGTGTGAGCTACTACACCAAGCCATGATATTGTTTTTGAATGAATGAATGAATGCCTAATGAAGGAAGTCAGATGGAGACCAGATCAGGGAACAGAAAGGAGTTCTCATTGGTTCTGCAGCAAAGAAATCACTGCGGCTTTGACTCCACTGCAGCCTTATTTTCCCAGGAGGGTGTTAAGTCTTGCTCATATTGCGAGAACCAAGAGATGGGGGGAGGGAGACAGCCAGTGCTTGTGCATCCATTCACATCAGAGGAAATGCCCTTGACAGGGTCAAACTGGTGCCTGCTGGGCATGGCCTTGGGTACTTGTCATTCCCAAGGCATTCCCCTGAATCAGAAGCAGGGGATGCAGGGAAAGGCACTCATCTCAGAGGCTAGGGATGGAGGGAAAGACTTGTCTCCGAGGCTAGAGGATGGAGGGAAGGGGTGGGGAGCACTGTGGCCAGAGACAGCACCTAGGCCGACTAATTAAACCCTTTGGTATCTGGCCCCCTCCAGCACAAGCAGATTCTCACTGCTGAATCAGCTTCCTGCCAAAACGAGACTCATACTCTTTTTTTTTTCCTGCTTGATTTGCTTAATGGAAGCTGACAGTGAAGTTCAGCCCTGATTGTCAGATTTCAGTAGGAACCTCAAGAGGGGAGAAGGCAGCAGACATTTGAGGAATAAAAATAGCACACATAATGAGATCCTTTATTTAGCTGAACCACTTCTTTAATATTTCACCTCTCTCTCTCTCTCTCTCTCTCTCTCTCTCTCTCTCTCTCACA